CCTAAAGTGGGTGTTAGGAGTTTGGACCTCATGCCCACTGGAACCATGTCCAACATGGGGCCCTGAGACAGAAATTGCAGGTACTTTGGGGTAGGATCTGACTTCCTTCAATAGTGATGGTTGTTTGTGTTTATACATGGATTGGAAAGGTTCAATTCGAGACCTACCTTGTAGTGTCAGGGTGGTATCTTGCTAATGGATCTGGAGAGACAGACAAAGCCCTGCATAAATAACATGAGTTATTGTTAGTAAACAGTGGACTGTAATTATAAAAGGCATTAGAGAAAGAAAACATGGTGGTTTTTTCTATTTCTACTGCTTTCCCTGTTGGTTTTGCTCTGAGCTGCCTTTGGAATTTATCTGATTGATTTTGTTTTCGGACCATGAGGTATAGATAAAGAGGTTTGGTCTTCCTCCCATTTAACAGAACATGAGAGGGCTTTTTGAGCTTCATCCTCCAGAATTCTCTCGAGTTCCATCCAAAGGCTAAAAACAGCTAAAGCTCAGGGAGAACAAGCTAGTTTAAAAACTACACTCAGTCGAGTTGCTTTAGGAGAAAACAAGTCTCAGTAGGTGTAAAGATTTTTAAATTATTCTTTTTTTTTTAAAGTCTACAAATAATGGATTTCCAACTTTTAGTGCTTGAACCTCTGTTACTGAAAGCCCTGAGGCTTAATTTACAATCATTAATCGTTCCTTCATTACTCAAGATATCCTCTTTTTTTTTCTTTTTTAAAATTACTGTTAAATTATGAAAAAAGATCAAACATATGAAGTGGTTCAGAGAATAAGATAACAGTCATAAAAGCCACCATCTGGATTTAATGAATATTAACATTTTGCCATATTTGCTTCAATACTTCTTCCTTTAAAGAATGAAATGTGGCAGATACAGTTGAAGTTCCTTTGGTCTCTCTCTGTTCGCGCCAGTTCCCCTGCTCCCTACTCTGCTCCCCCAGAGGTAACGTCTGTCCTCAGCTTGATGTGGTTCCTTCACATCCATGCTTCTGTACTTTTATTCCATTTATGTGTGTCCACAACAGTAGACACACTTGTTTTGTGTAGGTTCAAATGTATACCAATGGCATTGTCCTATTGGTATGCTGATACTTTTTTTTTTCTTTTTAGTTCTAGCATTATAGTTTGGTGTTTGTGTGTGAAGGCTGAATTCCTACATTTCAGCAAGTATATAGCATCACATTTTATAACTATTTCACAATTTATTCGTTCCTCTCATTGTTGGGCATTTGGGTTATTTACAAATGTTTGCTGTTATGAACATTGCCATGTTGAACATTTGAAACATGGTTTCTTCTGCACTGGTTGGAAGATTTCCCCCCCCGCAAATACCTAGGGGTGGAATCCTGGGAGGTACAGTTATTGTTGTCGCTCAGTCATGTCTGACTCTCTGCGACCCCATGGACTGCAGCATGCCTGGCTTCCCTGTCCTTCACCATCTCTCAGAGCTTGCTCAAACTCATGTCCATTGAGTCAGTGATGCCATCCATCCATCTCACCCTCTGTCGTCCCCTTCTCCTCCTGCCTTCAATCTTTCCCAGCATCAGGGTCTTTTCTAATAAACTGGCTCTTTGCATCAGGGGCCAAAGTATTGGAGCTTCACCTTCAGCATCAGTCCTTCCAGTGAATATTCAGGATGCATCTTTAACTCAATCAGAGGTTGCAGATACCATTGAATTTTCATTGCTTCCAGAAGTATAGATGGAAGGAGTTGTCATTAACTGAGACACTGAACAGGATTGAGGGCAAATGTCAGAAGCTCAATTTTGTCAATGGACAAGAGGACCTGAGGTTCACGGGTGAGATTCATACTGGACACACCCATTTGGGATCATTCACAAAGAGATGGTAGGTGAAACCATGAGATGTGCTGAGATAACCAAGGGGAGACATGCAAGGGCTAAGCTATGGGACACATGGGTGGTTGAAGATTCAGGAGCGGAGAAGAAGCCAGTGAAGGAGGCTGAGAAAAAGCAGCCTGAGAGGCAGGAAGAGAATCAAGCAGATGTGGTGTCCAGAGGAGAAAGCATTTAAAGGAAGAAAGAGTCAACCATCCATTGTGTCCAAAGCTGCCAATAGGTCGTCTAAGACAAGGATTGAGAATTCACTCTTGGGTTTAGTACCATGAATGTCTGGTCTCCAGAAGTCTCGATAAGAATAGTTGCAGTATTGTATTCCTGTATGTTACCCATAACATTCCAGAAGTTTCCACTGCTGCTTTACATTTAAGATCGAAGTAAAAATGCCTGTTACAGACTAGCCTAGAGAAACAACTGGCCCCTTAAAAATTTTTTTGGACTGGATATATCTCATAAAGAAGGCGAATGGTTTGGTTTTGTTTTTGCTGAAATCTTGAAGCATAGAATTCATCTGTGGAAAATGTCAAAGTCAATGTGACTTAGCTGTAGCTACATTTAATTCTCATACAAAGGACTTCCATTCTTAGAATAATATGGTGCATTCAACCACGTTTTAAGGCTAAACAGCTCTTCAGGAGAGGGAGTTAGGAGAGATCAGATACAAATAGAATGAAAGAAAGTACAAATGATGTTGAATGGAATAGGAATCTCGTAGTGTTCTTTCTTTAAACTGGGGTATAATTGCTTTACAATGTTGTATTAGTTTCTGCTGTACAACGAAGTGAACCAGCTTTATGTGTACATATATCCTCTCCCTCTTAGACCCCCTCTATCCCAGCACTTTGGCCATCTGATGCAAAACACTGACTCATTAGAAAAGACCTTGATGCTGGGAAAGATTGAGGGCAGATGGAGAAGGGGACGACAGAGGATGGGATGGTTGGATGACATCACCAACTCTACAGACATGGGTTTGAGCAAGCTCCGGGAGTTGGTGATGGACAGGGAAGCCTGGCATGGTGCGGGTACATTGGGTCGCAGAGTCGGACACGACTGAGCAACTGAACTGATCCCACCCATGTAGGCCAACACAGAGCACTGAGATGAACTCCCTGTATAGCAGGTTCCCACTAGCTATCTGTTGTACATGTAGCAGTGTATCAATTCCAGTCTCCCAGCTCATCCCCTCCCCCCACCTCATGTCCACACATCTGTTCTGTATGTCCTTGTCTCTACTCCTGCCTTACAAATAGGTTCATCTGTACCATTTCTTCTAGATTCCATATATATGCGTTAATATACAGTATTTGTTTTTCTCTTTTAGCCCTGCTTCACTCTATATGACAGTCTCTCGGTCCATCCATGGCTCTACAAATAGAATATTACTCAGCCAGGAAAAGGAATGAAATTGGGTCGTTTTTATTTTTAGTCTTTAAGTAAGATTTATCTATTTATTTTTGGCTGTACTGGGTCTTCACTGCTGCACACGGGCTGCACAAGAGTGAGCAGGGGCTGTTCTTCCTTGTGGACCACCAGGAAAGCCCTGGTCATAGTGTTTTTACAGTAGCTGTTCTTGGGTGTGGTCCTCAGGCCCCTGGTGGCCCCTCATGACTTTTAGGGTTTTGCAAGGTCAAAGCTGTTCTCTTGATAACTTTGCCTTCTTTCACTGTGACACATCGGCACTCATGGTGGGAAAGCAAAGGTCAGTGAACATGTTGGTGCCATAGTGTGAATCAGGGCAGTATGACCGGCCCAGGCTACTGCTACTGTGTTCCTCACCACGACCCACTCAGTAAAGAGGAAAGAAAAAGCCAGTTTCACTTGAAAATGTGCTCGATGAAGCAGTAAAATGACTAATATTCTGTGTGATGAAAATGGAAAATATGCCTAAAACACCTTTTCCTGTGTACCACAGTATAATGGCTGTGTTGAGAAAAAACACTTGTATGACTGAATCGAGAGCTGAATTATATAGTTGCTTTTCTCATGAAATACCATTTTTGCTTTATAAAAAAATCAACAGACAAACTAATGTTAATAGATTTGGGAGTTTGGCAGACATTTTCTTGAAGATGAATGAAATGAGCCTGTCACTTCAAGGAAAACAACTGACAGTACTTGTTGCCAATGATAAAATGTGAGTTTTAAGTGAAAATTAGAAATTTTGGAGCCCTTACATCTACCACAAAGAGCTTGACAGCTTCCCAGCACTCAAAAACTTGTCTGGTGAGATCAGCGGTGACATTCACAAATGGAGTCTTTTTAGACAGAATATGATGAAACATGCCAGCATCTGGACTATCTACAGCCCTCAATGGACCAATATTTTCCAAATGACCATGTTATGCAATTATATATGAGTAAAAAGATCCTTTCAGAAGGCAAGATAGACTTCTGCTTCTAGCCAAGATGGAGTGATGGGTGTACCTTATGGCTGATGTTGTCAATCAAGAGTTATTTCATGTGCTTATTGGCCTGGTGCATGTGCACATGCAGGTGATCACAGGGTAGTCAACTGAGTAACTGTGGGCCTTTGGGATCAGAAGACGTAGATTGAATCCTGGCTTGTCATTTCCTTGTCCAATAAGCACACTTATTGGTATATCTTCTTTAGAGAAATGTTTATTAAAGCTTCTGTCCATTTGTTTATTTTTGGCTGCACTGGGCCTTTGTTGTGAAGTGGGCTTTCTCTGTCATGGGCTTTCTCCAGTTGTGGCAGGCAGGTTTTTCTTGTGGACCACGGACTCTAGAGCTCACCGGCTCAGTAGCTGTGGCGTGTGGGCTTAGTTGCCCTGCAGCATGTGGGATCTTAGTTCCCCTACTTTTTTTTTTAATTGTTGAACTGTGACTTTATTTATAGAGATGTTATTTTAGGCTCTCCCTCCTTAAGACTCGGATGTAGCAGTGTGTCCTCAGCTCATCCAAGTCCTACCAGATTCAGTAGTCATTGCGAGGGAGGCAGACAGACATCTCTCGGCCGGAAGCAGCATGGCTGCTGATGGCTGCAGTTGCTTGGATGTTGCTATTTTCTTGCTTCTGTCTCTTTAAACTCAGATATTAAGATTGAGCTCAGTTCCTCAGTCTCTTATCAGATGTCCTCTAATCTGCTGCTGTGTCTTTCAGTGTCCTGGTGATGACATGGCATCTGCCAGCTCCAGCCGGGCAGGGGTGGCCCTGCCTTTTGAGAAGTCTCAGCTTATCCTGAAAGGTGAGTGGCACGGTATGAAGTTTATCATTTAAGGCCCAGCCCCATCTTTGGGAAAGAGGTGGAATTATACCACATCTTGGCTTATGAGCAAAACTATTTATTCTTACAGGGTTGTCATATTGTAGCTGGAATTCTTAATTTTTTTAAGAATTAAAACATTTTTTTTGGCTGTACCATGCAGCATGTAGGGTCTTAGTTCCCTGACCAGGGATCGAATGTGCACCCCCTGCGTTAGAAGTGTGGAGTCTCAAGCACTGAATTACCATGGAAGTCCCCTAAAGTTGGACTTCTTGCAGAGGAAGGAAAAAAAGGAAATTTTCGGAAGAATTGTACAAAATGGCAGTTCCTTCCCTCCCCAGGGCTCTTCTCTATCTACGCTCTTCCCCTTGGTGAGTTCATCCAACCGTATCACTTTAAGATGTCACCAATAATAAGATTACTGCCACATTTGTACCTCCAACCTGGCCTTGTTTCTGACCTCCAGGTTTGTATATCCAGTAGCCCATTTGTCATCTCCACCAGAATGCTTAGTAAACATCTAAAATGTGACATGCCTGGAACTGACCTCCTGATTTCTTTTTTTTCTCAAAATCCTGTTTTCAGAAAATCTGCTTGTGTCTATCCTCAAAACTGGGGCCATGTTCAACCACTTCTCACCACCCCCACCATCCCACCAGCTGGCATCATCTCCACCTTAGATTAAGGCAGAAGCCTCCCAACCCGGCTTTCTGCTTCTTCCCCTTGCCCCACTTCATTCTGTTGATCACACAACAACCCGTGATCTCCTTAAAATGGAAGCCAGCTCCTGTCACTCCTCTGCTCAAACATATCAAGGACTGTTTCCCTCATTCAGTGTACAAGTTGAAGATCCCACAAAATACAACCCCTGCCACTCCTCATTTCCTGTTCCACGTTTCATTCTGCTCTGGCTAGACGCACAGGTCCATGTGGACCTCCCTTGCTATTCATTGCCCCTGCCAGGCATGCTGCCATCCCTAGGCCTTTGCACTTGCACAGGCCTTGCACAGACAGACACAGATGTCTGTCTGTCTATCCTCTCTGAGTGAAATAACCATTTTGGCCCAGTTATCTACCTAGTCTACATCCTTACTTTCTGCAAGTCTTTACCTCAAAGTCACCATGTTCAACTAGGCCTTCCCTGACCCCCCCATCTGAAGACCCCCTACCTTGATTTCTTCATGTCTCTCCTCTTTTTGCTACTTTATCTTTTTCTTCTCAGCCCCTGGTAGCATTTAACATTCTACCTATATTTTATTATTTTTTTTACAATTATTCATTTATTTGGCTGCACAGGGTCTTAGTTGAGGCACTTGGGAGAAGGATTAGAGTGAACTGCCAGGGTTTTGAATTTGAGATTACAGCTTGTACTGCCTTATCTGGTAATTAGCAGGATTAGGTCAAAATGGAAGCCTGCCCATGGAAACCTGTGATATCCTGAGGTCCCTCTTTTGGCCATGTTATTCAGGAACACAACACACTGACTTCTAAAGGTTTCTCTGTTGCCTTTCCCCAGTGTGTATTTTCTTACTAGTGTGGTGAGAACTAACTTGATAATACAGGTGCATCTCATCATACATGCACTTAACCTATAGGAACTTGGTAATACCAACCAGGAAAATGGTGGGGGAAAGAGAGAAGGATAAAAACAGCCACTTAAACATTGTCGGTGGTTCTTTCCTCCCATGTATTTCCAACCAGGAAAATGGTGGGGGAAAGAGAGAAGGATAAAAACAGCCACTTAAACATTGTTAGTGATTCTTTCCTCCCATGTATTTCATGGATGGAGCCTCAGGTATAATTAGGGAACTGTGGCCTGCTGTTCCCTCTATCTGCCTTAATTCTCCGTGCCTCTCCATTGTGCAGTCCTAGAGATTTTTAAGAAATTTTATTGGAGTGTAGTTGATTTACAATGTTGTGTTGGTTTCATAAACCAACACATAAACATAATAGTTACACATAAACATATATCTACTCTTTTTTTTCTTTTAATTTCTTTAATTGGAGACTAATTACAATATTGTGGTGGTTTTTGTCATACATCGACATGAATCAGCCATAAGTGTTCATGTGTCTCCCATCCTGAACCCCCCTCCCATCTCCCTCCCCACCCCATCCCTCTGGATTGTCCCCGAGCACTGGCTTTGACTGCCCTGCTTCATGCATCGAACTGGCACTGGTCACCTGTTTTACATATGGTAATACACGCGCTTCAATGCTGTTCTCTCAAATGATCTCACCCTCGCCTTCTCTCACAGAGTTCAAAAGTCTGGTCTTTACACCTATGTCTCTTTTGCTGTGTTGCATATAGGGTCGTTGTTACTGTCTTTCTAAATTCCATATATATGTGTTAATATGCTGTTTGGTGTTTCTCTTTCTGACTTTCTTTGTATGATAGGCTCCAGTTTCATCCACCTCAATGGAACTGACTCAAATGCATTCTTTTTTTTAATAGCTGAGTAATATTCCATGGTGTATATGTACCACAGCTTCCTTATCCATTCGTCTGCCGATGNCTTACGTTTAGATCTTTAATCCATTTTGAGTTTATTTTTGTGTATGGTGTTAGAAAGTGTTCTAGTTTCATTCTTTTATAGGTGGTTGACCAGTTTTCCCAGCATCACTTGTTAAAGCGATTGTCTTTTTGCCATTGTATTTTTTTGCCTCCTTTGTCAAAGATATGGTGTCCATAGGTGCATGGATTTATCTCTGGGCTTTTTATTTTGTTCCATTGATCTATATGTCTGTGTTTGTGCTAGTACCATACTGTCTTGATGACTGTAGCTTTGTAGTATAGTCTAAAGTCAGACAGATTGATTCCTCCAGTTCCATTCTTCCTTCTCAAGATCGCTTTGGCTATTCGAGGTTTTTTGTATTTCCATACAAATTGTGAAATTATTTATTCTAATTCTGTGAAAAATACTGTTGGTAGCTTGATAGGGATTGTATTCAGTCTGTAGATTGCTTTGGGTAGTATACACATTTTCACTATACTGATTCTTCCAATCCATGAACATGGTATATTTCTCCATCTATTTGTGTCATCTTTGATTTAAAAAATATGGAATGCTTCATGAATTTGCGTGTCAGCCTTGTGCAGGGGCCATGCTAATCTTAGTATATGGGCTGCTAATGGGAGCACTATCCACTCTTTTTAAAGATTGTTTTCCTATATAGGTCATTACAGAGTGTACTGAGTAGTATCCCTTGTGCTATAAGTAGGTCCTTATTAGTTATCTCTTTTATATATAGTAGTATGTATATATGTCAATCCCAGTCTCCCAGTTTACCCTTTCCCTAGTCCTAGAGTTTTAAAATCTAATTTTAAAGACACCAAGGCCCTCAAATGTAAGCCAACTATTTTATGATATTTAGCTGAAGGAACACCAAAAACAGCACAGCAAAGCAAAAGTCTAGCTGTTTGGAATCTATTGAAGGATAATATGCCACCCTCTCTTCTGTTGCCTTCCTAGGAGCTCTTCAGGGATGTCATTTTGGAAATATGTGATTTTTACCTTATTTGTTAACTGTAAAATTTAAATGCTATGTGAAGATTTGACTCCATGTATAAGAAACTGGCATTTTATGTTTCCTCAAATAGTGAATAAATAAACTGTAGATGAATGTGAGACCTTTATTTTGACTTATCTTTTAAGAACAAGAAACATTCAAAATACCATTTTAAGCATTCAAAATTAATTAATTATAAATTATTGAAAGGAAATGTATCTTTACAGTGAAGTGACCTGGTAAACTGGGCCCACATTAACCACAGGATCAAAATTAGCATCCCCAATAAGGGGATTGCCTGGTGTATACAGTAAATCTACATCCTAACCTGCGTGGTTAAGGCTTCCCTGGTGGCTCAGAGGTTAAAGCGTTTGCCTGCAATGTGGGAGACCTGGGTTCGATCCCTGGGTCCCTGGGTCGGGAAGATCCCCTGGAGAAGGAAATGGCAACCCACTCCAGTATTCATGCCTGGAGAATCCCATGGAGGGAGGAGCCTGGTAGGCTACAGTCCACGGGGTCGCAGAGTCGGACACGACTGAGCGACTTCACTCACTTGCTAATTCAGGATTCAGGAAATTCAGGAACCTGCTTGGTTAGTATTCTTGACAAAAATGTTCAATGTGCATCTAACCACGAGGGAACAATCAGAAAAATGCAGGATTCAGTGGGTTCTATGAGACATCTGGTGGAAGTCTTTAAAAATCACTGTCATGGAAGAAGAAGGGAGTGCATTCTAGGTGTTAAAAGATTAAGGAGACAGCAACCGAAAATAATTTATGCATCTTGATTGGATCCTGGGTTGGGGGAGAAACAGCTTTAAAAATATATTTAGAATAATTGGGGAGATTTGAATATGGAATGGATATCAAATGAAGGAGGGAGTGACTGTACATTTTTTTTTAAGTATGATAACAGTGGGTAGAGGTGGGGTGGGAGAATGTCCTTATTGTTAGCAGTTGCTTTCTGAAAGTAATTTGGGCTGATCTGTCATGAGGTCTACAACTTACTTTCAAATAGTTTACCAAAAAATTAAAATGTGTGGATATATATGTATATACATACACATATAGACATAGATGTCTTACATCTGTATCTTGTGCTATCCAACAGGTTAGAAAGTGTAGCCACAAATAACTATTTACATTAAAATTCAAATTAAATAAAATTTATTAAAGCTCAAATCCTCAGTCTCACTAGCATAGTTTAAGTGCCTTGTAGCCATGTGTATATTGCAGCAGTGTATTGAACAGTGATGGAGCGGATATTTTCATTATTGTAGAGGTTCTCTGGGTAACATTGGTGATAGTCACAGAGAGGGGGGAAAAAAGTGAATGTAGCAAAATAACAATTGGTGAAGAGTATGCTATTATTTTTCTTCAATTTTTCTGTAAATTGGAAACTTCATGGTAAAAACACTAACTACGGTATGTGACGCAGAAGGCAATGGCACCCCACTCCAGTACTCTTGCCTGGAAAATCCCATGAATGGAGGAGCCTGGTAGGCTGAAGTCCATAGGGTCGAGAAGAGTTGAGAAAACGACTGAGTGACTTCCCTTTCACTTTTCACTTTCATGCACTGGAGAAGGAAACGGCAACCCACTCCAGTGTTCTTGCCTGGAGAATCCCAGGGATGGGGGAGCCTGATGGGCTCCCGTCTATGGGGTCGCACAGAGTCGGACACGACTGAAGGTACCTAGCAGGAGCAGCAGCAGCACACTATGTGATCTTAGCTTGCATTGGGACTAGAAAAAAATCTTTCCTTTTCTCTTTTGCTATAATGGACATCGATAAGATAATTGGCAAAATTTGAATAATGTCTGTACCTTAGATAATAGATAATAGTACAATGTTGATAATTGTACTATGGTTCTGTTAGAAAATGTCATAGTTATTAGAAAAGACAGCCTGAGATATTTAGGACTAAAGGGGCATAGTGTCTACAACTCACTCTTCCGTTCAGTTCAGTTCAGTCGCTCAGTCGTGTCTGACTCTTTGCCACCTCATGAGTCGCAGCATGCCAGGCCTCCCATCACCAACTCCCGGAGTTTACTCAAACCCATGTCCATCGGGTCGGTGATGCCATCCAACCATCTCATACTCTGTCGTCCCCTTCTCCTGCCCCCAATCCATCGCAGCATCAGGGTCTTTTCCAGTGAGTCAATTCTTCGCATGAGGTGGCCAAAGTATTGGAGTTTCAGCTTCAGCATCAGTCCTTCCAATGAACACCCAGGACTGATCTCCTTTAGGATAGATTGGTTGTTTTAGTTAAAAATGAGTATGTGTATGAGAGAAAATCAAGGGAGAAAAAGAAAATGATAAAGCAGATACAGTGAAAAGTTAATGTTTGCTGATTGTGGGTGAAGGGTTTATAAGAATTCTTTGTATTAGTCTCACAACTTTTCTCAACATCTGAAATTATATATATATATGTATATACACACATTATATATATATATATTTTAAGTAAATACTAAAAAACAAGGACCAGAACTTATCTGGTGGTCCGGTGGCTAAGACTCCGTGTTCCCAGTGCTGGGAGCCTGGGTTCCATCTCTGATCAGGGAACTGGATCCCACATGCCGCACCTAAGACCTAGAGCAGCCAAATAAATAAATATTTAAACAAACAAAAAAGAAGGGCCAAAAGGAAGCATGATGGCAGAGTTCACAGAACTGGCCCAGGAGCTGGGAGACTTGGTTCAAGGTTGAGCACTGCTCTGACTAGCTCTCTGATTTTGGTTACATTGTCTTACCTCTCTGGATCTTAGTTGGCCCAACTGTTAAATAAAAGGCTTAAACTTGTCGATTTCAAAGAAACTGTCTTGCTCTAAATGACAGGTCTCTGTAAGTAGTCCCTGTTTTCTTTTTAGACTTAAGGGTCTGCATGCAGAGCTACTCTCATCCCGCTAGGTGGCCTCAGTTAACCTCGATCTCTGTGTGTCTCATGTTCCTACTCTGGGCCACAGTTCCCAGTACTACAACTTTTTTTCCTAGGACCATCCGTTGTTGCTTCTGAAACTCCACCACAGCTTCATTGCTGTTGTTCCTTGACTTCTCTCTCCTGTTTTCTGGGGCCTGGAGAAGACAAGGATTGCTAGGAGAGAATCAGAGGTGGCTTTGCCCTGTCCCAGGTTGTGGACCCTTAAAGGATTGTCACCCCTCAGAAGGATCTGGGAGGGAGAAGTATGCTAACTTTTGGTGGGAGCTCAGGCTCAGGCAGTCTTGTCATCACTGGTGAGGATCGTCAGTTATATCTTCTGATTTGGGGCATAGGGTAGAAGCCAGGTAAATGGGTTTTATCCTAGTGACCTGCAGTTTCCACTGTGACTGATGCATAGTATAAAAGGAGCTTGTCTAGCATCCCGCCCTGGGCATATGCTTGCTTAGGTGGTACTGAGTCCCTGGCTAACCAGTACCATGTGAGTATCAGAAATGCTGCCACACAAGGAAATGAACAGATGCAGATGGTTAACAAGTACATGGGAAAAATATCAATCTGGCTAGTGACTGAAGAAACAATTGAGAACAAATAAGCAAAGTCCGGTCATGACGTATGGCATGGTGTGGAGTCAGGCAGCCAGAGGCACATCCTGGCTCGAAGCTCCTGGATGTGTAGCCTGGGGAAGTGACCTAGCTTCCCCAAGCCTGTTTCCTCATGGGGGAAATGGAGCGATGATGTTATTTCCTGCCTCACTGTAAGGATTAGGTGAGATAACATGTGCACAGCATAGTATCTGTAATAAGTGCTCATTAACTCTTAGCTGTTATCTTTATGCTATTTTTTTTTGATTTGCGAAGAGTGAAAAAAAAAACAGTGCTCAGTGCTATGCAGTGTTTGGTGAAATAGATGTGTTCCTATAGTACTGATGGGTATCTACGTGGGTTTAAAAAGGAATTGAGTGGTTTTAAGAACTTTAAAAAATGTTCGTATCCTTTGGAAGAATACTCAGAAATGCATGCAGATACTTTATACATTTGTGGTTGTTTTCCCTGAGCCAAAAGTTGGAGGCAATTTATTCAAAAATGGAAGAATAGTTCACTAATGGCATATCCTTATAAACGGGCTTAGGTTGTAGCTTTTGAAATGAATTTTGGGAGGAGAGGAGTTTTTAAGGAATTAGGGACATAGGAGATGAAAATCCAGAAAAAGTCTGTATTTACCAGATATCAGAAAAAGTCTGATATCACTTAATGATAATCATCCCAGTGTTTTCAGGTTAGGAGTGATTTTTTTTCCTTATCTTCTTTGCTTGTGCTATATATATTTTTATATCCTCACATTTTAAAAAAGTCTTTTTAGAATGAAGAAAAAGCAAAATTTCTTTTTTTAAAGGAAACAACAAAAAAGAGGGAGAACATGTGCCACAGGGGGGCAGTTGGGAGCCCTCTGACTCATCCTTGACTTTTTCTGTCTTTCCCGGCCAGTGGTGTCAGCAAAGCCCAAGGTGCATAGTCGTCAACCTCGAATTAACTCGTTTGTGGAAGTGGCCGTGGATGGACTCCCCAGCGAGACCAAGAAGACTGGAAAGCGAATTGGGAGCTCTGAGCTTCTGTGGAACGAGATCATCATTTTGTAAGAGAAAATCCCTTCTCTCCGAATGCAGCCCCTCCTGGGGAAGGTCAAGATGGGGGTTGTGGGAGATCCAGGTTTTGTGTATCAGCCTCTAGTCCTCTGCCTTGGATACCCAAGTCACCTTCTCTTCAGGTGTTTTTACATCGTCGAGCTCACAGAGCATTCATTGTTTGCTAGATGGTTACATGGTCAGCTTGGGTGGTGGTGGGGTGGGGAAGGGTATCTGTGACTGTCTTCCTCTTTGAGGTCCCCTCCTCGTCTCTAAGATGACAGCAGTATAATTTCTCTGTCTTCTTCTAAGTTACAGGAATGACTGGTCTGCTTGGATGTGATGAATCAAGTATTTGTTTTCCAGGAATGTCACAGCCCAGAGTCATTTAGACCTGAAGGTCTGGAGCTGCCACACCTTGAGAAATGAACTGCTAGGCACCGCCTCCGTCAACCTCTCCAATGTCCTGAAGAACAATGGGGGCAAAAGTATGTATGATGCAGGGTTGGCTGACGTGATTCATTTGTGGGTGTGGGGAAGGGATATGAAGGCTGGGATCTTTCTCACATGGCAGATAAACATGGTTGGTACCGTTTCCTCCTGGACCAGGGGCTGCAGTGACTCTGCTCCCTAGAACTCCCTGGAGTTCTCGGAAAGCTGAGGGCTACCCTCTGCCTCTACTGCGGGACTCAGTCCCCTTGGTCCAGGGCCCTTCGTGGTGGGGTGCAGTGACGCGTCCCTCTTGATCTTTCCTCAGGGATGTGTGTACTCTCCGTCTGCCCCTGCCCCTCTTTTCCTAATGTGTGATGTGTAGAATCAGACTGTTGAATGCCTCCAGCCTAAATCATTATTTTCCCAGTCTTATCCCTCAAACAGAACAAAGGATCTCCATGCGCGTGTGTGTGTCTGTGTGTGTGTGCATGTGTGCACGTGTGCGTGTGTGTCTGCATGGGATGGTGTTACAAACGGTGCCCTGTGCAGGCATTTGATAAACATTTCCTGGATATTGGAATGTGATGGAAGCTCCATCATGACTATTCAACGTGTCTCTGCTACACAGAGATCTAAGTCCTAACGTCTGTTTATTGCTGTTTGTGGTCAGTGGAGTAGCTCGTGGTTGTGGCATCTGGACCCTCCCTCATAAAGCCTCTATTCAGAGCAGCACCAGATGTGGTGAGGGAATGCCACAGAAAGAAAGGCTCCTTCTTCTCTTGATGTCTGCTGTCTAGCAAATATTTTCTGAACGTGGATGTAGCTTGAGAGAGAGGTAGGGGAGGGGAGCGTGGAGATTCAAGGGTCTCCCCTTTTTGAGCCTGTCCTTTCCGATGGGCCTCTTGAGTGCTGGGCAAGGCTCCCCCAGTCTCTCCCTTTCTGCTGGGCACACAGTGACGTGGTGCATCCACTGTGGGTCCAGGAAGCGTCTAAAATCAGGGCCTGCTTCTGTTCTAATTCTACAGGGAACTACCCCTGCTCTGTCTTCTGAGTTGGTCTTTATTTTCCCACACGCTAGTCTACCTTTTATAATTTGATTCTCAAGGGTAATTATGTTTACTGTGTCATTTGGAAATGTACTTCTGGGCATTCTCCCATTAGGATCCTCAGCCGACATGCGTGTGTTTTTTCTCTTTTTCTTGTGTCCAGTCGGCGTCCTTTTGCTTTCAATGGCAAAGGTAACTGTAGAAAAATTGGGACTTACACAACAGCACAGACACACAAAGAAAACAAATTCTACTGGAAGCACAGTACCTAGTGATAATTATTGTTAACTTTTTGATATATACCATTGTGAGGTTTTTTTCTTCTCCCGTATATAGTGTCTTAATATTTAAGATGTCAGTGAAACAAAATTGAGATCATACATGATCATATTATTTTGCAACATGCCTTTTTTTATCTTCAGAATTTATTAATATAGAGACTTCCTTGATGGTTCAGTGCTTAAGACTCTCTGCTTCCATTGTAGGGAAGTCTTAAGTAGGAGGCATGGGTTCAGTCCCTGGCCGGGGAACTAAGATCCTCATGCTGAATGGTATGGCCATTAAAAAAAAAAATTAGAATGTGTTAGTATATCTTTATTTTAATTGTGATAAAAAACACATAACATAAAACTCATCTTTTTAACAATTTAAAAATGTCGAGTTGAGTGTCATTAATTTCATTCACATGATTCTGTAGCCATCATCTCCATCCATCTCCAGAGCTTTTTCATCTTGCCAGACTCGAACTCTGTACCCATTAAACAGAAACTTCCTCGCTTCCCTCAACCTCCACCATTCTACTCTCTGTCTCTTTGAATCTAGACATTGCCTATAAGTAGAATCATGCCCTTTTGTGTCTTTCTTCTTTCACTCAGCATAATGTCCTTAAGGCTTATTCACGTGGCGTGTATCAGAATCACCTTTTCTCTCTTTTTTTAAAATTTATTTTAATTATCTTGGTCAAGCTGTGTGGCTTTCAGGGTCTTAGCTTCCCAACCAGGCATTGAACCTGTGCCCTCAGCAAGGAAAGCACAGTCCTAACCACTGGACCATCAGGTATGTCCCTGGAATCATGTTTTTTATGTTGAATAATATTCCATTGTATGGATACACCACATTTTGTTGATCCATCCATCCATTAAAGGACACTTGAACCACTACTTTTTTTCCTGTAGTGAACAGTGCTGTTGTGAACATGGGTGTGCAAATATCTCTTCAAGTCCATGCTTTTAGTTCTTTTGGAAATATATTCAGAAGTAGAATAGCGGGATCATGTGGTAATTCTCTTAATTTTTTGAGGAACTACCATACTGTTTTCTGTCACTGCTGTACTATAAAATATATCAACATAACTTTAACTGTTCTTCAAAAGTCAATTTTTTTTTTCAAAAGTCAATTTTTGATGTCTGTCTGGTAGTCGTCTGTCAGATGACTATGTGAAAATTTAAGGTTGAACACTTGAGTAATTTTCAGTGGTCACAGATAATTTTCACAGTCACAGATAATGCTGTGATGGTACTCTTACGAGTTTACAGAGTTTTGTACCAGTTGTTGAAAATTTGTGTTAAATTATTGAACACTGACTTGCTGGGTTTAAACATTTTTCAAGGCTTTGGACACATATTGCAAGATTACTCTCCGGAGAAGTTCTCCCTGTTTATCCTGCCATCAGTTGTTGCCGACATGGCTGCTTTCTATTGTACTTTGGCATTTCTTGGATTTGTTTGTAAGAAGAAAAAATATGTGTGTGTGTGTGTGTGTGTGTGTGTGTATTTGATAATTAACATTATGCCAGATTTGCTTCATCTATTTATTTTTGGCTGCAGTATTTTATTATTTATTTATTTTATTTTTATTACTTAAAAATAATTTTGTTTATTATTTATTTTATTTTTGGCTGTGCTCGGTCTTCGTTGCTGTGCAGGGGGCTCTAGTTGTGATGAGCAGTGGCTACTTTCTAGTTGCAGTGTGCGGGCTTCTCATGGCAGAGGCTTCTGTTGTGGCTTCAGTAGTTGTGGAACGCGGGTTTAGTTGCTCCTTGGCATGTGGGATCTTCCTGGACCAGGGATTGAACTGATGTCCCCTCCATTACAAGGTGGAATCTTAAACACTGGACCACCAAATTAGCCTTGGCTTCAGTATTTTAAAGTAAATTACAGATGTTTCAAGCTCTTATCCTAGATTCTTCAGCATGCATCTCATTAAAAAAGGACTTTTTTTTTTAAAAACATAATTACTTTTTTTCTTTTTACAAAAGTACCATTGTCAACATCTGGCAATATTTACATAAATTCCTCATTATTAGCTAATACCCAGTGCACCTTTGATTTCACCATTTATCTCAAGGTGTTGTTTTACGGTTGGTTTCCCTGAACCGGATTTGGGCAAGGTCCCCTCACTCGTTTTGGCTGTGACGTTTTCCGACTCCCTCTGCCGCCACTCCACTTTTTTAAGGCTGTGATTTACTCCAGGAGACAGAATGTTTTTTAAAAGTGTGTTTGTTGCCTTATTAATGTCCTTTGCTCATTTTTGTACTGAAATTTACTTATACTGCATTTATTTTATTTATACTGCATTTTAAATTTATTTATACTGCATTTTTCTGTCTTGATTTCGAAAGAGCTCTTTATATATTAAGGCTGTTATTCTTTGTCTCATAATTTTTGTTTTCCCAGTTTATCATTTGCATTTTAATTTTGCAATCTTTTTTCTTAAAATTTTTTCCATACAGATGTTTTAAACATTTTGTAGTCAAATCTGTCACCTTTTATCTTTTCAGTCTTTCTTTTATGTTTTGAAAGACTTTCCCTTATTCTGAGAACAGGTAAATGATTACCTCTATTTTCCTCTAGTTTACTGTGATTTTGTTTTTTTAACTTAATTCTCCATCCAAATGAATTTATTTTTGTGTTCACTGTGAGTAGGGATATAATTTATTTTTATTCTATTTTTAAAAAAACTGGAATGTAATTGCTTTACAATGTTGTGTTAATTTCTGCTGTACAACAACATGAATCAGCCATTTGTATACATATATCCTCACCCTCTTGATAAGGATCTAATTTAATTTTTCCAAATATTTAACTGATTACTTTAGCACTGCTTATTGAATCTATATCCCCAGTGACTTGAGTTGCTACCTTAAGCATATTTTAAAAACATATGTATATCTGGGCCTGTATGGGGACTTTATGTTTCATTTGTTGTTTAGTTTCTAAAATATCTATTTATGTATTTGCTCTGATCTCAGTGGCAGTGCATGGAATCTTTTAATTTCGGCTCGTGGGATCTAGTTCCCTGACCAGAGATCAAACCCGAGTCCCCTGCACTGGGAGCTTGGAGTCTTAGCCACTGGACCACCAGGGAAGTCCTTGTTTGTTTTTTTAATTGGCCTTTTTAAATCACTTTGTCTTAGCTATTATAACTGACAGTTCAAGTTTCTCTTCTTTTCAAAATCTTCCTGCCTTTTTTCTTTGCATGGATGATACCATCACATGAACTTTATTTTATTGGGTTCTCCCCTCTTTCTATTCTCCTACCCCAAGTCCCTTGAGATTTTGTTGGAATCCTGCATTATGTAAAGTTTCCTTTATGGGGAATTTTAATACTGATTCTTCCTATGCAGGAACATGGAATGTCTTTAAATTCACTCAAATCATTTTGATGTTATCTTCAGATAGATTCTTTTAATTTTTAAAGAAGCTTTGATATTATTTTCAGTGGGATCATTTCCTACTGTCTTTTGACTTAATGTTTATTATTGCTATTGACTATCAGTGTCTGTATTTTTTATAGTCAGTAAGTTGCTGACTTCTTAGCATAGACTTTCAACAGTTTCTTGTGGATTTTTTTTGGTAGATTTTTTTTTTTTAATGTGGGCCATTTTTAAAGTCTTTATTGAATTTGTTACAATATTGCTTCTGTTTTTCTGTGTTTTGTTTTTTTTGGCCATGAAGCATAGGGTATCTTAATTCCCTGACCAGGGATCAACCCACACCCACTGCATTGGA